CCCTGAGCTCGGGTCCTCAGCACCACATAAAAAAATATTAAACAAACAGACAAACAAACAACAATAACAACAACAACAACAAGAAAAAAGGAACCACTGTGGATAGATAAGTCTCAGGAAAGCATTGGAAGGGGGTTAGAATTGGCTTTTGGGAAAATCTTGCCTTGTTCATCAATTCAAAAATTTAGAATAAATAAGGGAGCCACTGAAGATTTCTTTCTTTCTTTGTACTGGGCATTGAACCCAGAAGAACTTATCACTGGGCTATATCCCTGGTTCTTTTTATTTTTTATTTTGAGACAGGATCTAAGTTGCAAAGTGTCTCAATAAGTTGTTGAGGTTGGCCTGGACTATGCAATCTTCCTGCCTCAACCTCCTGAATTGCTGGGATTATAGGCGTGTACCACCATAACTGGCACTGCTGAAGATTTCCGAGTTGGAAAACAAAATGATTAAAACAGAGAAACATATATATCCTACAAATCTTATCACTGCATGTCAAACAGTTCAGCCACTCTCCTGTGTGGCCTTAATCTCTTTCTTTCACTGCCCACTCTCTGCAAAAATCACAAACTCAAAGCAACATCTGTTTTCTACTATACTCTTTTGAGTCAAATCTAGACTCAGATTTGCTGGAGAAAACCACACCACACTGTACAATACATGACAAATGTACAGCATCCAACCTGAGCAGGACTCTTAGTCCAGTCACTTTCTCATTTCTTTCCCAGGGGACAGCTATTTCTAATTTTCACCATCATTCTTAAGCACTTTACCCCACTGTTCCCCATGCCTCTCAGTTGGTGTCTCTGTCCCTTTCCTCTTAGGAACAATTAAGGTCATCAGACAAGAACTCTCAACTCCCCCTACCCACGCCTAAAAACATATTTCACTCACCTACCCTAACATCTTTGCTTCTAATCTAAGCCCTTCATTTGTTATCTTGATCAATTATCTCCTGTCCCTTATTTGATTCTCATTTCTCAATTATTTCCAACTTTTCCTTTATATCAGCCCCACGCCCACATATTATGAGTTGCTCAAAATTCTTCTAATTTAAGCAAGGAGGAGGGAATCCAACATAAAACATACCTTCCCTTGGCCCCCTCCCATCCTGAAGAGTTCATGCTCCATTGGCCTACATCTTCAGTCTTCTCTTTTCTCTCTACATAGCTTCCTTGGGCAAACTTATCCATGCCCCCTGCTTCAACTACTATACAAGACAGTAGCCAGCCAATCTGTACCCCTGGCCCTTCTAAGTTCCCAAGGCACTAATCTCAAATGTTAAACGGACTCAAAAATAGCATCCTCTACTTTTATGTCTCAAGGACATCTTAAATACAAAATATCCAAAACTAAACTCATTTTCCCCATAAGTCCATCTTCACTTCTGTTTTGGATCTAGGTATCACCTGGCTTCTCCATATAAAAGGAACCTCTTTTCTCTTTTGTGCCATATACAGAATTCCATCATGGCACTTACACCTAGGTATCACCTTGGATACTTCCATCTCTCCTTAATTTCCTTAAGCTCTTCTATATACCCCTGCCTTTCCACACTACCACTAACCCATGTCTGTATGTCTCTTGCTTAGATTACTCAACTGCTTCCTAATCTCTTTCTGTCTGATCCTTTCCCTTAAATCTAGCCACAAGATTGTTACTTGACTTGGCCATATGACCCACCCTACTTAAAACCCTTCAAATAAAAAAAAAATAAAAAATTAAAAAATATTTTTTTAAAAAACCCTTCAAATAGGGTTAGGGGTGTAGCTCAATAGTACAGCATGTATGTGGTTATCAAGCATGAGGTCAACCCCAGCACAAAAACAAAATAAAAACTTCAGTGGATACATAAGAAACTTCAGGTAGTTGTGGTGGTGCTCGCCTGTAATTCTAGCTATTCAAGAGGCTGAGACAGGAGGATTTTGTGAGTCCAAGAATTTAAGGCCAGCCTGGGTAACATGGAGTGATCCCAAGAAAAGAAGAGATGATAAGTAAGTAAGTACGTAAATAAATAAATAAATAAGAAAAACAAAGAAAAAAAAGGATAGAAAAAACCAAAAGGATTTAAAAAAATCAGAAAGAAACAAAAGAGAAGAGCTGGGTAAAGTGACTATGCCATAATTCCAGCTCCCTAGGAAGCCTAGGCAGGGCCATAAATTCAAGGACAGTCTCCGCAATTTATCAAGAACCTCTCAAAGGGGCTGGGGATGTGGCTCAAGCGGTAGCGCGCTCGCCTGGCATGCGTGCGGCCCGGGTTCAATCCTCAGCACCACATACCAACAAAGATGTTGTGTCCGCCGAGAACTAAAAAAATAAATAAATATTAAAAATTCAAAAAAAAAAAAAAAAAAAAAAAAAACCCCTCAAAAAATAAAAAAAAAAAAAAAGATCCCACATGCCTGTAATCCCAGTGGCTCTGGAGGATGAAGCAGGAGGATCGAAAGTTCAAAGTCAGCCTCAGCAATTCAGCAAGGCCCTAGCCAACTCAGCAAGACCCTGTCTCTAAATAAAATATAAAAAAAGGGCTGGGGATGTGGCTCAGTGGCTAAGTGCCCCTGGGTTCAATCCCCAGTACCAAAAAAGAAAATTTAAAAAAGGAAAAGAAAAGGGGAAGAAACTTCATAGCAAAACCTCTGGGAATAAATGGGAGATCTAGAGTTAGAAAAAAATTTCTTTCACGTTGATACTATTGGAATTGTTTACCATTAACATGCACTACTATAAAAAACTAAAGTTTTGACGACCCTCAACACAAAGTTCTTCATGATATCCCAGCAGTTATCTTTCAAGCTTCTTGCTCAAGTTATTCGTATATCCAGAACACCCTTCCATCAACCTAGAGTCTGTCAAATTCTCTCTCTTTTTTCTAAGACCAAGTCTGGCTAAATTGCCCAGGCTGGCCTGGAACTTGTAATCCCTCCCACTTCAGCCTGCCCAGTAGTGGAGTAATCGGAGTATACCATCACACCCCCAACTTATCGAATTCTCTTTTGAAATGGCCCAAATGGCAATTCTTCCTGGCTTCTCCATATAAAAGGAACCTCTTTTCTTTTTTGTGCCATATACAGAATTCCATCGGCACTTACACTTCTGTTAGTCTCTCATATAATAGTTTATGTTCGTTTAAAATGTCTGTGTCTGTCTCCTTCCACTAGCCTCAGATTCCCTGAGGACAGGAATTGTTTCTTATTTATCTTTGAATTTTCAGAGCCTGGTTATGACATCAAAATTTCCAGGTGTGGCTTGGGCAAAATATTTCAAAAATGCTCCTCAGGTGATTTTAATTTAATCTGCTGTTAACAACTGCACTAAATGTAAACTTTTGGGAGTTGTATCCAGAGGCTCTTTATCATTGGGCTATACATCCCTAGCCCTTTTTAATTTTTAATTTTAGGACAGAGCCTTGCTACATTGCCCAGGCTGGCTTTGAACTTGTGATCTTCATGCCTTAATGTAGGAATGCATCACCAAGCCCCACTAAAATGTTAACTCCTTGATCTCAGGAATCATCATGACTAGCACAATGTAGGTGCTCAATAAATGCTTTACTAAACTTAAGTAGACAAGTCTAAAGTTGAGGATGCACCTGGAGATTTGGAGGCATTAGGATATATAGGATAGTATTTGAGTGAGGAGTGAGAGGAGTAAGGAAATAAGGAACTCTGTCACTGTAACTGCCGAAGACTCTCACTTTTTTTTTTTTGTTTGTTTGTTTTGCTACCAAAATGAATTCCTCAAGGGCAGGAATTCTGACTTATGCATCTCTACATACTTGACCGCTGAGTACACTGCATAGTACAGATGAGGGGCTCAGTAACATTTTATTGAGTTCAGAGCCACTGATAGTAAAGGGAGATACAATATTTCATGGACACAAGGGAGAAAGTGATCAGCTTGATGTACGAAGGCTGGATAAACTGAATTTCAGAGGGACAAGACAAGTTATGTGGCCGAAAAAAAACAATAACTTCCAAGAAGAGGTCACAGGAGGCTCATACTAGGTATGAAAGTGTATAATGCAGATACACCCTTTCCCTGTGACTGTGAGTCAAGCGCAAGACATAAATGTCACGTTTTTAGAAAATGAGGCTGAGAAGGTCAGAAACAGATTATGAAAGGCCCCTTATGTCACCTAAGAATTTACTCCTGTGAATGGCCAAAACGGAGCCTTAAAGTTAACGTTAAACAACAAGTTTAACTTTTTTTTTAAGGTACTGGTGTCAGTATGAAAGACAGAATAAATAATTGAGAGAGAGAGACTCAAGAGATGGAGCTGAATTAGTGACAAAAGGTCTGGTTGACAAACCCGAATAGAGGCCGTATCTTACTTAAACTTTCCACCCAGGAGAAAAGGGAGAGGGAACGTAATTCATTCTTTTTAAAAAATTCGAGATTTAAATTAAGCGGCCAGTGAACTCCGACCCCTGATGACCATCAGGCCTCTCACGTTTCTTGAGTCTGAACAGGATGTGGAGTTCCAAAGTGAAAACCCAAAGGAACCTTCTGCTCTACTTTCAGGGCTCCAAGCCCCTAGTCATCACAGTCCCATCCACTGGGAGCCCAAGGTGTGCAAAGCAGCGTGAGAGGGGTGCAGTGAAAGTTTACCGCCGCGCCTGGAACCGCGGAGGCGAGCCCGCGAAGGCGCAGGGTAGGAATGCGCGTGCGCGCTTAGAGACGCGTCCAGCCCTCGGCCTTTAAACCCGGTGGCGGGAACTGGGATTCGGCGCCTCCCAAGCCTGTCCCCGCGATTTCGAAAGGACTTCAGTCCACCCAGAACCCTTTTGCCACACACACTCACCCGCTCTCGCGGGTCCTCCGGAGCCTCTTAGACCCAGCTGCCCTCAGGCCCTGGACTACAACATTTCCCGCCACCAGACACAGGAGACCGGTCCCTGCCTGCGTGGGGCGCGGGGCGGGGCGAGGCGGGCTGGTCCACTGACTCCGAGCGAATGGGAGAGAAGGGAATGGTTGGTGACGAAGTAAGAAAAAGGGAAGCGAGTAAAAGGACTGTTTTATCCGAATATGTTCCCTACATTGACCTAAAAGTCACAACGCTATGAATAGTCTGCTGAATTATAATAATAACCAAGCTCAGATTAGAGATAAATTCACATTTTCCCCTTCGGGTCAATGGACTATTCCAAAATCCATCAGGGTTAGTTGGAAAAGTTACATTTTATTTGGGAGGAAGTGGAGGTACTCGCCGAAATTAAAGTTGACTGTCATACTGTAGGCATAAGTCTAACAAGTATGCAAGAGGCTTATAAAAGGAAGAAATCAACAATAAATATTCATTATTCAGTTGAGGATCTCTTCCAGCCTCTGCTGATACAGTGTATTTTGCCAATGAATTGAAAGAAGATGGGGCTGAAAAGAAAGGTTATCTCCTGAAGTATTACTCATTTGAATACAAGGAATGAGTTTCTGGGTTATGAGGGAGGGTTAGCTATGAGATGAAAGGACAGATGAGAGAAAAGTTAAAAGATACGTACAAAAAGAAAAAAAGACTATGGAGCTAGTAGTGATAAAAGCTGAAAGATTCCATTTGGACAGTGTTTTGATTTGTTTTGAATAAGCTAAATCTCCGAAAGTCAAAGCCTCTCCCTTCTTGTCACAGACTCCTTCCCCTATGTTTTTCCAGGCATAAAATTTCCTGTTTTGCCTTTAGGAAATAATTTTGGGGCTTAAGTTCCATCTGCCAGGGCATGTCAAATGGACTCCTTAAGCTGCCTAATTTTTCTAGATTCTAGGCTCGCCCACCTGCTATTTAGGTTGGGAGCTCCCTGGCCCAGGACCTCCAAGGAGATCCATTATGCCAGAATGAACACACAACCCAGCCAGTGAATGTAGACAGGTTTATGTGGTTTTACAGAACAGCCCAAGTCCCAGTGTTCACTTTTCTCAGAGCTACTTCCTCACCCAAGTCCCTGGGGCAAGCATCCGTGAGATAAGTAAGCTACATTCTCCTATTATCTTCATTAAAACTTTTAGGTAAACTTGCATAGTGATCTGGGGCTAATACCTCCATTTCCTCTCCTACCCACCTACCTTGAGTCCTTTCTCCCAACCCTTGGAATACCCTGTCTACTTTCTACATCTGTCTCTGGGAGGAGTAATCTCTCTGCTTACCTGTTCCCTCAGAAATCAAGAGCCATACATTTGACTGCAAGCAGGGTAAAGGCCAGAAATTAAGGTCGGTTCCCTGAACTCATCACACCAGGCTGGGGGGAAGGACATATACGTTGACACCTTTTTCCTTACCTAGCTCTCATGCCCCAAAACTCAGACACAGCCACACTCACCTACATTCATACACACAATCATGCACACACGGCGAAGGGAAGTGGGATGGGGAGGAAGGGAAGTTTGTACCAACCAGCTCATGAATGCAACTTGAAAGATTTCACACAGCAAAAGAAAAAAAAAAACACACACACACACACACACACATAAGTTAAAAAATAAAGAAGTACATGCCCCTCCCCACAGTTTTTTTCTTCATCTAGGGGCTGTCTCAGCCCCTCCACAGAAACCCAGAAGCTTTCTACTCCCTCACTCCATCTGGAGCTTTTACAGAGCCTGGGTCTTCAGTTCAACAGGTTCCCCTGTGCCCTCTGGTTGTCCATTGGAGTCACTGGGTCTGACACCCTTGAGGATAGACAGTCTCTCAGAAACACTCTTGAGCCGGGGGAAGAGAAGAAAGTCGTAGAGAAGGCTGCCCAGACCCCCTCCAATGATCGGGCCCACCCAGTACACCTGTAGGGAAACAAAAGGAAGTCTTAAGTTTGAGGAGGGGACTGAGCAGCAAGGATGCTCTTTTTCTAACCCTCTTAGTTAAAAAGAAGATATCTTGAACTTGTCACATGCAATTAGGCAGGTATTGTCTAAATAAAAATCAGTGTGGGTTTTTGTTGTTGTTTGTTTGCCTGTATGCTAGCAGTGCTAGGGATTAGTAATCATAACTCTACTTTTTGTGACAGGCTGACTTCACACTGTACCACTGAGCTACATCCCCAGCCTTGATGTAAACTATTGACCCTACTTCCCACTGTCTGTATTTCAAAATGTATCATTTCTTTTTTTTTCTGATCATTTTTAAAATTATTTTTTATTTTTATTTTTTGTGGTACAGGGGATTGAACTCAGGGTGATCTACCACTGAGCTATGACCCAGGCCTTTTTTAAAATTTTATTTTGAGACAGGGTCTTACTAAATTGCCCAGACTAACCTTACAATCCTACTGTCTTCTCCAAGTTGTGGGGATTACCAGCATGTGCCTCTGTGCCTTGCTATCCCATACCTTCTTAGCACATGTATATTTTATTTGTTGTTATCAATTTTTGCTGGTTTATACATTTCTTTCAAGAAAGTTTTGTAGATTGTAGTAAAATATACTTCGTAACATAAATTTACCTTTAACTTTTAAACATGCAGTTCAGTAGTGTTAACTGTTTTCATTCCCAGAGTTGTTCAATCCATTTCCAGAATATTTCATCTTGTAAAATTGAAACTCTATAGCCATTGAACAACAACTACTATTCCCCTACCCTATACCCTGGCAAACAACTACCCTTCTACTTTCTGTTTCTATAAATTTGAGTTTATACCTCATGTAAGTGGAACTATTTAGGACTAGTCTTTTTGTGACAGACTGACTTCACTTTCACATAATGTCCTCAAGGTTTATCCATGTTGTAGCATGTGTCAGAATTTCCTTTCTTTTTAAGGCTGAATAATGTTCCGTGTATGTAAGTCCACATAGGGTTGCTCCCATCTCTTGGCTATTGTGAATAATGTTGCCATGAAATGAAAAAACAACTTTGAAGTTTTTAAAAACTATTTTCATATGTTTGGCTTGCATATGGCCAAAACAACATAAACAACCAATATTTATTAGAGATTTACTCCATTTTCAGATTCTGTGCTAATGTTTCATGCATATAACTTTCACACTTATTGCTCATAACATCTCATTTTACAGTTATAGAAACTAAGGTACAGATGATTATTTGCTGAGAGTCACACACAAGACTAGTAAAGTATTAGAACTGGAAATAGGCCCACAACCATTTGTGCTCACACACATACTGATATCTGAGAGCAGAATTTATTGTCTTCATATTTAGTTGTCTATCCTATAGTCTCTAGTTTGGGCATCTGATGGATACTAAGTTAAAAACAAACAAACAACAACAACAACAACAAAAACAAGTCTATCCAGAGAAAGAACAATAGCAAGAGCTTTTTTTTTTGGCAAGAGCTTTTTATGAGATATGATCTCACTGTTTTGTCCAGGTTGGTCTCAAACTTCTGGGCTCAGGATACTCCTGTCTCAGCCTCCTGAGTGCTGGGACTATAGGTATATGACACCATGTCCATTAGCCTCTCTTTCTAGCAAAATAATGCAATCTGTTCACATGTACATGCCATGCTCTTAATTGAGTGTTGATAGAGAAGCCAACACAACCAGATGGAAAGCAGAAACCAAATCTGGAATCTGCAATCCAGCCCCATCCAGGAGGGCTCTAGGATCTTGTCCATCTCCCCTCACTCACCCAGTGGTTGGTGAAGTTCCTGGTGAGAATGGCAGGAGCAAAGGAACGGGCAGGATTCATGCCTGCACCAGTATAATACATCTGCAAAAGACACAGTTGTAACTGAGACACACCCCCTTCCACCCAGCTTTTCTCCTCATAGCCCATATTGCCCCTCAGAGCTGGTAATCTCGTGTCCAGCCAGCAGCAAGTGGGGAAGGACAAACTACATAACTCTTTAGGGGGTTCCACAGTGGGTGAGGGCACTGACGCCCTATCTGGGATATACTATAGACCAATAGGCAAAGCCCAAGTTGAACTATGATGCGTGCATGCATTTCTTACCAAGGGTCAAGAAGAACTAGGTATAGCAATCACAAGGGAGGGATAGGGCAGGGTTAATTCCTGTGTGCCAAATGATACAGAGTAAGATGAATAACGTTCCTATTTGAGTGGGCAGGAAGAACACCTAAAAGTTGGGAAAGGTTTGGGGGCCCTGGTATTCTTGAATGAGAAGTTGTTCCCCTTTCCTGCTTACCCCAAAGAGGTGCCCCAGAGTGAGGGAGAAGCCAACGGCCAGGGCCACGGAGCCCAGGCGACCATTTCGCCTCTCGTCGTATGTGGCAAAGATGCAAAGCACGAACTGGAGCGTCAGGAAGATCTCCACTGTGGTGGCCTGGCCCACACTCACCCCAGGGTGCAACTGGGCAAAGGAAGAAGAAGGGAGGCAGCTCATTAGGGCTGCCACAGCATTACCTCCTCAAGGCTTTCAGGTAGGGATCCCCTCTGGCATCAGTTTCCTGGAGAGGAAGGATATACAACCCCCTTCACAGCAATTGTATCTGTAAATTCTCCTGACAATACACCTTTATGGTAGAAATGATTGTACCCACTTACATGGATGAGGAAATTGAGGCCCCACAAGGTAAAATAAGTTTCCTTAAGACCTTGACAGAAGTTGGAAGGAAAGATGAAATTTGAACTCAGCTTGTTCTCTTTCTTTTGTTCTTTTTTCTTTTTTGTGATTATGGGGATCAAATCCAGGGCCTCATACCTCACACATGCTAAGTAAGCATTCTACAACTGAATTGTATCCTCTGCCCTCAGGTTTCTTGATTCTCAGTCCAGGTCTCTTTGCCTTCCTTACCCCTCCAAGCCACCTGTTGATCTTCCCTGTCCTGAAACACACACACATACAAACGTGCACACACCCACACGTTGTACCATGCAGGGAGTCAGGACACGAGATGCCCCCAGCCCTTCCCAGTCAACCATTACCGTGTTGAGCGCTAGGTTTCCTCGGACAGCAGGCGGGGTGACACTATACAGTACAGCGGCCCCAGCCACGGCTCCCAGGAGTTGGGCTGCCATATAGCAGAAGGCGCGGAGCAGGGACATCTGGGAGCCCACAAGGAAGGCAAAAGTGACTGCAGGATTGACATGGGCTCCACTAATGTGGCCCACTGCTTGCACCAGTGTAGCCAGGGCCAGACCAAAAGCCAGGGCCACCTGCAGGACATGCAGGGGTCCAGGGGTCCAACGTAGTGAGGCCCCTAGCCCAAAGAAGACGTAGAAGAGGGTAGCAAAGAACTCGGCAAATATGGCCCTCCAGAAGGAGGCAGACCGCAGTTCCCACATGGCAGAGGGGATGGGCAAAGCACCTGGGTCCCGGACACCCCCCTGATCTTGTCTGGGTGGATAGTCCCCTTTATAGAGGACTCTTAATCCCTGGGAGGGGCAGACTGAGGCAGCTGGCCCTGCCTCTTAACCCCTTCACAGCTGTAGAGGGTTTAATCCATTCCCATACATCTGATAGAGCTGCTGGATTTTTCCTTCCCTTCTCAACTGGAGATGAGCTGAGAGAACCACAGGGATGAGGCTCACTCTTCTAGTGGGGGACTAGAAGAGTCTGTCCTTCTATCTGCGTCAAAGTTGGGGTTCACAGTCATGATTAACATCTGTATTAGAACATTCCTCCAATCCCCTTGGAAGGTCTGTCAAGCTGAGTTCACTTTGTGTGGGTTATGGGGCTGTGCTCTTGGGGACCTCAGATTCCTCTGAGACTACTGGGGGTAAGGGTGGGGGTGGGGGTAAGGAGTGGGGTTCAGCAGGGAAGTTGGATAACTGAAGAGAATTCTTTAGTTCCCTGGGATTACAGGGCCTTCTCCCATTGGCTGGTTTGGGCTGGAATCTGTGGACCCTGCAGCTCTGGGACAGAATAGTTCTGCTGTGTCTGGCTTTCTCCGAGCCCAGGTTCCCTACCCCCAACCCATGCCAGCACCTTCTTTTCCAAACCCTCAGCCTGGTCTTTTAAACCATAGAGACAGATGAGGAAAGAAGCTGTCCTTTGAGCATAGGCTGGGAGTGGGGTTTGGGGTCTAGGATGAGGAAAGGGGTTAATAGTGAAACCTCACAATCAGCTTGTACAAGACAGAGTAGGAAGTGGTGAACGGAAGGAACCCAAATCATGGCTATGAAACCATGTGAGGGTCTAATGTTTTCTAATATAGCCATAATCAGGACACTGGAGTCCCTAAACCTGGGAAAGGTATAGGGATGAGGAAACAGAATCTGGGGAAAGAGGCTGGTCAAGGACAATATGGGGAAGGAAAGTTTGGGGAGATAAGTCAAACTGTGCTCAAACTTAGTGAGGGATTTGGGACCTAGGGGAGGGGCCATGTAGTTGGAGAAGGTGAAATAGGATACTCCAATAAGTGGTGAGTTATGCAGGTCACTAACTTTTCCTGTGAAGTACTAGAGAACAGAACTTTGAAGGTGAGGCCTGCAAAGATGATACTAGGTGTGAGTCCCATGCAATGTACCTGTGGGGAGAGAAGAGGAACATATATCAGGATCTGTGCTTCTCTCCTCCAGTGTCCAGCTTGTGGGTAGATAAGATAGTTATAGGAAAGTCCAAAGGTCCCTCTAACCATCCACTGGAAGGAAAAGTTGCCAAGATCAGAGGGCATCCAAAGACTGGCCCTCCTGATTTCATGGAAAAGGAGTCCATCAGCAGTCCTTAGAGTCTCTTGCATTTTAGAAGCCCCACCAATCTTCTAACTTCAAGCCCCATATTCTTTGCTGCACCTTACCCAGTTTCCCAGTCACCACTGCTGTCTGCAGGGAGTGCACAGGGTTTGGAATGCCTCCAGAAAAGGTACCAAACAGAAAAGTGGGTAGCACATCATGGCCTTAAGAGTAGAAACTTCAGCAGGGTGCAGTGGCAAAGCCTATAATCCTGGTGACTCAAGAGGCTGAGGCAGGAGGATTGTGAGTTCAAAGCTAGCCTCAGCAACTTAGCAAGGCCCTAAGTAATTTAAGGAGACCTGTCTCAAATAAAATAAAATAAAAGGCTGGGGATGTGGCTCAATTAAAATACAAATATATCCCTTGGTTCCAATGCCTAGTACCAAAATGTAACAAGAATAGAGACTTGGGGCTGGAGTTGTGCCTCAGTGGTAGATCACTTGCACTGAGTTTGATCCTCAGCACCACATAAAAACAAATAAATAAACAAATATATTGTGTCTATCTACAACTAAAATTTTATTTAAAAGAAAAAAAGAGTAGAGACTTTGGCGACAGCTATTTTGTGCAGATGTAGGTAAGAATCCAAAATGATGGAACCAGTTATGACATTTAGTGGGAGTGTAAATTGGGGTAATCACTTTGGATAGATAGCACCACTGAATAAATTCAAGCAAACACATATTTACTGACTCAGGAATGTCACTTATATACCTAGGAGAAGATTTTCTATAAATACTCCAAAAAACACATACAAAAATGTTTACAATAGCAATATTCACAATGGCAAAAAACTAAAAGCAACCCAAATCAATGGAGAATGAAGAGATAAACAACGGTATAGTCACATGAAGGGATATTACTCATCAACATGAATGAATCACCATAGTGACACTTAATAGTGATGAATTCTATCAATAAAATAAATTTTAAATTTTTCAGAAAATTATACTTGCCATGATAACCTTTTTTTAAAATTTTGATTGTAGATGGAAACAATACCTTTAATTAATTTATTTATTTTTATGTGGTGCTGGAGATCAAACTCAGTGCCTTACACTGCTAGCCAAGTGCTCAACCACTGAGCTATAATCCCAACTGCATGATAACCTTTTATTTTGGGGTTAAAAACAACTAAAATACAAATATGTTCCTCAGGATACGGATGAGATAAAACTATACAAAAGTGATATAAGTATGAGAACCGGATTCAGGATGATGCTTACCTTGGTTTAGAGGAAAGATATGGGAACCCAGGGGCGCTTAATCATTGAGCCACATTGCCAGCCCTTTTAAAAAAGATTTTATTTAGAGGCAAGGTGTTGCTTGAGTTGCTGACCTTGAACTTATGATCCTCCTGCTTCAGCCTCCTGAGCCGCTGTGATTATAGGCATGCACTACTATGTCTGACCTAAACATTATTAAAAATAAATAAGGCTGCCAGGCACGTTAGCACACACACCTGTAATCCCAGCAATTTGGGTGGCTGAAACAGGAAGATCACAAGTTTCAGGTCCACCTCAGCAACTTCATGAGGCCTGCCTCAAAATAAAAAGGGATAGGGATGTAGCTCAGGGGTAAAGTACTGCTGAGTTCAATTCCCAGTATCACAAAAACAAAACAAAACCAAAAAAAAAATGGGGCTAAGGTAGCTCAGTGGTAGTGCGCCTGGCTGGCATGCACAAGGTTCAATCCTAAGTACTGCAAAAATAACTAACTATTGCCCTAAAAAA